CCAGGTCTCTGGGTTTCACTGTGCTCTGGAGTTTAGACATTTTTGGTTATATGTTTGAATTTGAGCTTCTTTGGGGTTTTTCCTGCATCTCCAGTGTTCAAGGTTTACACTTTTCTGTTTATTTTAGGCTCATGTTTATTTGTTCCCATTTAAATTCCAGTATGCTGTGGATCCCTGGGAATACTGAGTTTTGCTTTGTTTTTAATCGCTCAGTTTTGTAAGTTATCCTCTCTTTATTCTTCCTGCATCGTCAGTGTTTCGTGGTCAGCGGTAGTTTCTGGGCTCTGTGCTTTCTTGCTATCTTTTTGGGTTATTTCCTCATTTGCTTTGATATTCGTCTCGTGTGGCTTTGACTTTTGCTACCCCTCTATTATTTTCCTGACTGACTTCACCTGTGTCCTATTTCCCTGAGCTGTTTCCCTTGTAGCCTTGTTCAGATTGTCAAAAAACAGAAAAGAAGTACTGACAGTAATTTAGGCTCTCATGTTAGAGCGGTGGTAAACAGCACTGCCTCACAGTCACAGGGTCCGGGGTTTGTGTGGGCTCTGGGCATCCCACAGTCAAAAGACATGCTTGGATTAGAATACCTGGCAGTTCCAATATGAGTGTGAGAATGAATCGTTGTCTTTCTGTGTTGGTCCATCATGTTTCAGTTACGGTATGTTTTTTTACTTTAGTCCAGTTTGGAGAGCTTTTTCCTCATTATGTGGAAGAGGAGTGTGAGGGGAGCAGTCACTTTCTTGCAAAATCTACCCTCTATTATATTCTATTACGTTCCCAGAGCCCAGCAAACTACAAACTAAAACTATGCTGTGTAAAATAAAGACTGAATGCAGTGACTTCCAAATCTCACAAATCCATATTTTTATTCACAAAAGAACCCAACAAAATACATCAAATGTTTGACCTGAGATGAAAAACATTCGCTCAGTTTGGCTTTTATGGCAGCAGCACATCTCAAAAAGGCTGCGAGAGGGACTCAAAATAAACAGCTGGAGGAAGTTTTTCATGACTAATTACAGCAACAGGTCAACAACATGACTGGAATAAAAAAACATTTCTCAAGTAAAGGTTCACCAGTCTGCAAAAAACAACAAGAAACATCTAAAAGTTGTGGAACAGTTTCAGAATAACTATCAATGTAAAACTGAAGACTTTGCCAATCTAAACATCAACACCACCTATCATCAAAAGATTCAGAGGATCTGGAGAATTAATATTGGGTCGCTCTGATCATGACAATAA